TCTCCTAGCTGGGACAGCGGCCCGCTCTTGCAGGAAAAATTGATGCCATCTTCAAACAAGACTGCAGTCACATCACACCTCAACATCGCCACATCCTCCGTCACAGGGATCATTCCCCGCTCGTCTTCATCAAGATGAGCCTGTTCGATCGTCCACCAGACAGGCCACATAATGGAATGATTGGTTTCCACCTGGAACTCGGACGTGGCATGTGACTGAATGTGACCCGGTCTCGTCCACATGATGAAATCTTCAATCGTCAAGTTTAACACCCATAGACGAAGTGGATGCAACTGCCGATGCTGGTCCTCATCCTCCTCCTCATCTGAAGAAGGCTCTGCACTAGAGAAATCGCCACGCTCCACTTCCGACCACTCTGGGGTGATCACTCAGCCCTCATAGGAATCTCTGATTCAAGTGACTCTGATCCGCTCACATCGTCACTCTCACAATCTGGACTCTGTGCCATCATGATGCGTGGAGCTGTTGACCGGGATGAAGTCAACCCTACCGCACCAACCAACGATGGGACTTCCTCTGAAACCGCGCTAGCAACTGTCACCACCGACGAAGCCTTAGCTGACGCTGCTGCCTTTGCTGCTGCTTTGGCTGCCCTTTTCTCTGCTTTCGCCTTGGCCTTCGCTTCTTGAGCGGCTTTAGCCTTTGCTTCTTCAGCCGCCTTTGCATCTGCAGTCGCTTTCGCGTCACCCTTGCTAGATGGTTTCCCCTTGTCAGAAGAGGGATTTCCAGTATCCTTCCCATCCTTTCCGCCCTTGCCCTTGGCACCCTTCCCCTTGTTTGCAATCTTTTCATGCCTGACCTCGCAATCTGCTCCCTTTAGGCAACCTCTGGCCGTATTGAAGTAAGAGCATAACGGCTTTGCACCGACACCCTTTCTCCCAGTAGCCTGATTGGCCGAAGGAATGGCATACTCGTCACCCTCATGTTTCCGATGGTCCTTGCACGACGAAGATGCCTGCTCCTCAGCTTGAATCCGGGTACATTCGGCTTCCAATACCTGAAGGAACGATGTCACCCCGTCGTGGGATGGTACCTGGATATTATGCTGCAATCTAAGTAAGCTCAGTCTTGTTCCCAACAAAGCGTGTTTTTCTCCAGCTGTTGGCATAAACTGTTCAGTGCAGCGATCGACTCGTGAGGAGCCTGTTCTGGCACTCCTAAATGATCCGCGCGTTGCTTGGCCAGTCTCCAGTTCCTGAGCGTAGCAAGCAACTCCTTGCAAGATGATGCGGTGGGAAGTTGCCTGAGAAATCTCTGCAACGACACTTGCTCAGTGATACCGCCTGGCATCAGCACCTCGCTCACTGTCTCCATCAATGCAATACTGGATACCGCCTCATTTGGAGTCCCCTTCTCAAGAGCAGGTTGCTTCAAGGACGACGGGATTGCCTTAAGCAGAGCTAGGCTCAATCGGGTTTCCATCTCCCTTTCATCCTGATGAACTACTGGCAAAGTTGACTCACAACCATCCCTCAGGCGCTTCTCATAATTGGTTTGTCCCTCCTGCACTCGCTTTCGGAAGAACGGGGCAAAAGATGGGGAGATCGCATCTGACGCGGCTTCTGTGCACCACTGTCTAAACACCATTCCCTTTTCCCACGGTTCCCCATGAGGAATCGTGAGTTTGGGAAAATCCTTGATCAATTTCCACTGTCCCGCCGGAATCTTCGCACCAGAATTTCTTAGACCTGGAGGTTCTGCAGTAGCTGACTGCACAACCTGAGGGTCCTCTTCCTGGTCTAGCCACTCATCAACAGCATCCTTCTGCCACGGATCCTCAGCTCCATCGCGCTGGGGAGTCATCTGGAACATCTGGACGCCTGATGTTGAGCGATGGTTTGGGGTTTCAATGATTTCCTGAGCCTTCGCCTCCTCCTCAAATCTCTCAAAATGTACCTCTTCTGCAATCTGCTGGGGCATCCGAGGTTGAGGACGAAACGATGAAGCTCCGGACTCCCCGCTGAACCCCACATCAACGTGAGTTTGCAAGGTTTCAAACCGGCTGGTGAGATCCTCTGACTGCTGTCTAAGCTTCTCACAGAGTTTCTCATTCCCATCCACACGTTCAAAGAAATGTTTCAACAACACATCCATCTCATCCATTCTACGCTGGATGCGGGTCTCACTCTCTTCACTCTTGATCTGCGCGCTTTGTTGTATGTTGGGTTGTTGATGCTCAAGGCTTGACAATGCAGTTTTCATCGAAGCCACTTCATCTCTCAGCGCGTCCGCTGAGGTAGCCTGGGCTTGCAACTGCATAATCTGATTCTCAAGGGCACCCAATCGAGTCTATCGTAGACTCAAAGGCGACCTGACGCCTCGACATATGGGTAACTGCACTCTCTATCTGCTGGATTGTTCAAGGCAACATGATGATCACTCGCAACATTGAGCAGTCTCTCGGTTTGATGCTTCACTCCATGTAGGTTCCCGGTAATTCCCGACAAGCACGATGCCAACCGCTCTGTTCTTGCCTCAAGCTCCTAAGCCACCAAACGAACATTGTCCTGCACGTCTTTGATGGTCTTAGCATCGGCCACGACGGCAGCTGATGATTGAAGCAATCTCAGAACTTCGGCCGGAGCCTGAATCTGCAACATTTGCTGCATCCTCATACGCACCCCCCCACATTTTCTGATGATGGTTCGTCGAAATGCTGAAGCTGTGGCGCCACTGAAGCACTCGCTGCAGAAAGGGATTGCGGTGGAGCATTTGGGCTCATCACCTGTGATTGGTGGGGCTGCTGTCAGTGATGATGCTGAAAGCCGGAGACATAATCTGATGCTGCTGCTGTTGTTGCTGCAGATTCATCCTGACACTATGTGGAACATCATCTAAAGAACTATATTCCATATCACCATAAACACTACACAGCTCACCACCTTCAAATCAAGCTCCGAATAACCCTGAAGGGGTTAAGGAAGAAAGGGCAACCAGGATACAGGGTATCCTGGGAACCACACCGCAAACCCTCAACCGGAAAAGTCAAAACCCTTCGCCGAGACCTTGGTGCACTTCTCGATTTGTGCATCATGCTTGAGCCACATGGGTGGCGTGTCATCCTTGCACAGGGGCCATGCTTCAATGGACCTGGCAATGTCATCCTTGCGCAGGGGCCATGCTTCAATGGTCCTGACAAAAGGCCTTGGTACACTTCTCGAGATTTGTGCGGATCTGATGCACAAACACAGAAACCATGCCCAAATCGAAAAGCTGGTTACGATGCTCTCACCACCATTCTGTACCAAAACATGCGAAAAGAAACCATGCCCAGAGACAGTGAGTGCCTGGCGGAGCGTAAAATATGTGAAAACCATCCACCGGCGCACGTAGCAGCGTAAACGTTCCAGAAAGGATGTCTGCCTACCGGATTGTGGCACTAACTCATTCCAAGATGCATTGGTTGCTGGCACCGACGAAATGAAATCACCAATCATATCACTCACTTGCTGGTACTCAGCGGTGACATCTTTGTCCATCCACTGCCAAACTGGGTTAGCACACTGAGGCACAAAACGCGTCATCGATGAACGATAACGCAGCGTCTGTGGCCCAAAACTCCCCGTGAACAACGAGGTAATCCAGTTCTGCCAATTCAGGGATCGGCACAGCGCGTGCCAAAAGTCGTAAGCTTTGGGCTCCTTGGCCCGAAGGACTTCTTGGCCATGCGACTAACTTAACCAAAAACAAAACCGAGAACATAAGCATCTTCCGCCAGCACTCGCCCGACAGTCCTGGTGCAGTTCATGCTAAGCAGGTCCACCCCTCGCCAGGCGGTCCTAGCAACATCGAGCGAAGTGGCCGATACTGCCATCACTGCATTGCCCGATGCCGTGGCAATTTGAGTGCCGGAAGAAATGAACTGCGAAACGGCATTTGCAGCACTCTCCCCAGCGAGTGCCGTGGAACTCAACATACGCCCGACGGGCTCCAAAATAACAGAGCCTTTCCCACCAACCATGCAATAAAGGACCAAACTCCACATCATTGCGTGCCGCGACCAGTGGAACAGCTTCCAAACCCCTTTGCAAGTGCACCTACGCTTCTGCACGACAGGTGCCCTAGCGCGCCGTTTTGGAATATCGGCGTTGCGCAGCGAAGCCTGTAGTCTGGACGGAGATGGGGGATGCTCGTCGCGATACTTCATGCTTGCAGCCCGGCGTGGTGGACTCATCCGCCTCAATG